GCCATACTCGGTGAAATTGGCGAAATTCAGCAATGATTTAAGGTTTCGTTGCTGCCAGTTCGTTTTGTTCGTATTCACAATTCTTGGTTCGAATCTCGGGATTTTATTTCAACTGAAAATATTTACAGCCTCTTGAATTTGTACACCCGTTTGTTTCGTTTGCAAACTGTGTAAAGAAGGTTTTTTGTTATAAAACAACCTCTTTTCTACCAAAATGACTTTACAATCTACAAAAAAGAGTTTCCAGACTTTAACAGCATTATCAGAAAAAAATACCCTTCCATCTAAAGTTTAAAACGAATCCACCCTTCCGAAACAAGTAAAGCGAAAAAGTAATTTGTCAAGTAAATCCTCAGCGTTCGAAGGAATGAGAAAGGATATCAGGCTGATATCTGATTAATGACTCCATAAATGATTAATAGTCTATTTCGACCAAATTAAATGTGACAGCCGAATACTGGGGAAGGCTTAGGGAAATTGACTATTGAGTATTCGAGATGAAAAAATATAGCGCTGTTATACATTACAGGTTTAAGGAAGTTCAACCCTGACAGCTATTTCGTCTTGTTATCAAGAACACGCCTTTTCGTGCCAATCCATGTTCCACTTTAAGACTTAACGGACTATCTAGTCTAATCTGGTATAGCCACATTTACTTAGCCTGTACAAACACGTATCTTTACGACTCGTCCTTGGCAGGGCAAACAGAAATCAAAGGCCGTGTTACTTCCTCCATTTTAGCTAATCAGTTCACATCTAGCCTTTATGCACTCGACCTTAAAATAGCGAGATATAGCAGGATATCCTCTATTTTATAAAAGTTTCCTTAATTCCTTTTTGTATTTGGTTGTACAAGATAATTCGATGTTCGAACAATCGGGCAATCAAATTGTTATCGTCGAGCAACATTAAACAGGGTTCCCATCGTTGTTTCTATTTTATTTCCGTGAATTAGGTTGTGTACTTCTGTTGGTTATAACGGTCTCAATAATCTGATGTTCATCGTAATGGCTTTGGAAGTAGCTAGAGATGGGGTTGCAGTCGGCGAGAGCTTTTATTTAAATGCTTTCCCGTCTTATCTAAGTCGAAACAGAACGTCGGAGACAAACTACGAATAACCATCGTGTTTTTGGAATTTTACAAATGTACAGTGAATTTAGAAAATGTGTTGATGAATTCTAATAAAGCATTTTTGTATAAGCGCATTAATTCCGTCATATCAATTAAGAGAATTAATTTGCATTACAAGCAGCAGCCCATTGTTGGCCAACCTTCCAAATTAACACTCGCTAAGCACCCAAATTACGTAATCCTTTACAGAATCAAAGTTAACAACAGAAAATGACGCCCCTCCTAAAATTATAACAATTTTTTTACCATTATCACAAAACAAAAGCACAACCACAACTCTGAAGGGGGATGAGGGGCGGACACCGTCCACGTCCCCCTTCCTGTCAATTACCGTGATTAATGAAGCCCTCGAATATTGAAACGTTTATTCGACCGACGCCAAAAGTATTATATTACTTTTAGACTACACTGTATCAACTTTTAATAAAGTCGCTTCACGAATTACTCACTTTTGAGTTACGAATATTTCGCTAATTCCATTTTTTGTACCTACTCCAACATTTTCCCGCGGTAAGCTTAGCAAAAACATTAGTTACTTGTGGTATATTTAGTACTAGGCCTAAAGAGTCATTGACTAATAGATTTAGTTTGCTTACAAACAAACAGGATTACCAAGAACAACAATTACTCAGTGTAAAACGAAACCGCAACTTACGGTCCACATGTTGCATCATCAATCACAATCCTTCAACAACTGACGATGTATAACCAACTCAAATAAATCATTTCATTTTCAAATCTGCATAGAAACAGTGAAAATATTTGAGGGCACAAAGTTAATGAAATAGCAGTATGTCCCCTTGTATCGAGAGAACAAATTAAACATTTCCCGAGCTACGCGACCGCCACCAGATTAAATTATGAATTCAAAATCGATTCACAAGCTCACCCGCTGTGAGCTATTTCCAAAGATTCGGATGTTGTAGCGAGTGTAAGAAAGAAACTGAATGTTTTAATCCACTTGGAGCAGACCTAATGAATGAAACGCGTTAAAAGACATTCGAGAAAAACGATGAAAGTTTAAGGATAATACAGCGGGGAAAGCTACAAACAGACAAACATAAAAAGTTGTTTCAAAACCCATCAATTAATTTTCAACACAAACATTTTTGATCAAGTTTTCCTCGCAAACACTTCTACGCATGTTGTCCGAAGTCCATTGTTCATGTGAATTTACATAGAAAGCTGCATCCTTGTTTAAAAGAAAATTACTCATCAAATTTTGTCCGATACACCTGAAGTTCCCCGAGCACGTCAGATTTTTCATCAAAATAAATATCACGTACTTGGCACAGTAACTGCTTGTCATATAATAGCAACAGATTTATGATTGATGGAGAGCTTCTGAGAAATAGAACGGTTTACGGAAGAATATTCAATCAAACCATTCGATTTCATGATGATTTCATAGTAAATTTTCCACTTATACAAGTTATTTTCCAATCTTTGATGTTCTGACGGGTATAACTTGGATTGTTCAAGTTTGAATGAAGCCTTTTTCCAAACTCAATTTAGGGTCTGTGGGAATTCGGGAAGGACATATTTGTTGATAAGGTTTCATCTGGTTGCGTAAGGTTTTTATGAATACAGGTTCGTTATAATGCTGACTTTGGCGTAATTTGGGTACTGTTTCTCCTATTTTTAGACATTTCTACACTTCGTTTTGTTGGAAAACATCGCTTACACTTGCACGAACCCACTCGCGCAGCGTTCGGGTGAAATAAATAAAGTTTACAAAGCACAACAAAATTAAGTTAGTGTAAGCGAAGTGGGAAAACATCAATTGTCGTCCACTTAAAGTGTTCGCAAAGGCAATTGTCTCATGATATCGGGAGGCTGCCAGGAAAAATAGTCACTTTAGAGGAGCAACTGTTTTTTTCCCCTAGTTGGCAACATCCAGACATTTTTATAGCGACACTTAACCGCAATCAAGTGGATCATTAGCCTGTAAAGGCCTGCCAAATATCTTTGCTTCGCCTCCGCTGTTTTCTCACCCTTTTGCGTGAAAGATGCTGTAACACACACCTTTTTTGGACGAATCCCGCTCGGCCATTGCCAAGTTCTGGCAGATTTTTTGTAGAACATTACGTCGGCAATTCCCTGCGGTCAGGCTACAGCTGTTTTTCGTACGAAACTACGCGGTTTGGGAACCGAATTTAAAAGCCGTATCATTTTGGAAGAAAACAAATTGAATTATGTAAAGAGACTCGTACCCGAAAAGTCAAATGCAAAACTGGAAAGGAATCACTCTGGAACGAGCGGCAGGCGAGCCGAAACGAAAAAAAAAACAAAACATCAATTTTAATGAGTCGAAAACCCAAGAATTTTCTCTTACATTTAGAGAGCAATATTTTTTCTACAACATTTAATCAGAGTAAGAAGTGAAATGGTAATTTGTGTGGACCGCTCGATGTAAATTTTATGCAAGAATTCGCTCGGCGCTCCCCTCTCCCTAAAAGGGGAAGGATTTTTGCAGCGGACAGAAAATTTTGCTTAGCCAAGTGAAATTTTAACTGCTTCGACAGAGACAGCTATGGAAATGCGAATACTTAATGCTAACTTACTTCCCGCTGGTTCATTATACTTCATAATTTTTGAGGGAAAAAATGTGATCCAAAGGGTTCCAATGGTTGTTTTTTGTTCGTCATATTTTGAATATTGACGAATTGATTTGCGTATTTATTGAATAATTCTAATGTAAACTAAAATAAATAGAATGTAGATTCAGTTCCAAATCATGATATTGACAAGAAAGATTAACTTGTTTCAGAATTTCGATACACAAATGTATAATATGTATGAAGAGAGCGCGTAGTATGCTTCCGAGCATTAAAAGTTTTCCAGTAACAAATCTTCAAGATCTGTGCTCGCAAAGTTGTTGCTGAGATCAAAAACATTCAAAAACCCATTTAAAATTTGTAAGCAGGCTCAAGCAGCAGATAACTACACAAGTAAAACACTCTAAACTTTAACAATAATTTCAATGATGCTCCAATGTAACAGCTCTCCAAGTTACACTCAATTCCCTCAAATTATAACTTGTACAAGACAATCCAACTCTTTGAAGTAACAAAATCCACTTTTTGTTTTGAAATCGTAACAAATTAATAACTGTACAATTTCATTTAGGGGTAGTGTCCAAAAATTGTTGAGTTAAAGGTTCGAATGATTTAATTCAACTTCTTGCACTGAATTAATGAATCCTGTCCCAATTTGAAGGATGTTTCTCTAACTTCGGAAGTCGACTTTCAGTTTGTTTCAATTTGTTAGCCTCGATGGGAATCCAATGGCTATTACAATGGGGTTCTATAATAATAAACAAAAGAGGCCTTATTTCATTTTGTAAGTTTCAGAAGTTGTTTTTGGTTCAAGTGCTTTGGTGACAACGTTTGTTACCGTGACTCGCGAATTTATTGAGTTCACTAATTTGACAAGTATTCGTTTTGCCGAGTTCTCAACTCCATTAGAATTTTCATAATTATTATGTATTTGTCTAATGAAAGTATTCAGAAAAATATTGACTATATTGCCTAATGAACATTCTATCTATAACTATTCATCTGAAATTAACTCTGTTTGTAATTACAGGCTTTCAGCCAAGCTTTAATGTCCAAACATATATCCAATATCCTAAAGCGTAATTAATTTCCGAAACGCAAATATTCTATTGTGCAGAACGCAACATCATTATTACGAATTCGCCATAATCCGTCGCTCGCTAAACAGAGCTTATTAAGACCACGATTCAAACAGGAATTGAACCGGCTAAAATTAAATCAACTCCATAGGACTAGTTGACTACGTCCACTAATTAGTACCGCAATTTATACATCAAACGAGCAACGGTGATACGCATCATCACAACGTATCTAGCACAAAAGGAAGTCTGTTTGTATGAGTAACATGATCTGCAAAATTGTTGAACCGATTTTGATTCTGTTTGTATTAACTTCAATGAGAAAGTTGTGAAGAGAAATGAAAAGGATGTAAAGGATATGTATTGATTGTTCGGTGTCAGATTGCTCATTATTTTGTGTATCCACGAGGAAGATATTTTGATAACTTTTGTTTCTAAGAATGGAGTAAGTGATATCTCCGCGTTGTGAGAAATAATCAAATTTGGGTAGCGTATCATTATCAATGTCTGATATGAGCTCATGTTTAAATGTCATCGAGGTTTATATTATAAGACATGATACCAACAATTGACATCACAAATCCAATAAGCTTCAGTTCTCAAATCGCATGAATCCAGGTCACACCACTAGTGTAGATGTAAACATACGATATAATAGAGACAAACGGACTAATACAGCTGATCAGCTAAACCCGAACGTGCAACTAACAGTTAATGAGGAAGTGGCTACTTGCAGACAAATTAACATGTCACTTTAAAAGATAGAAGCAGGAAACCATAATATTTAATGTTAGGCTGGATTAGTACTCGTTAGGTGAGCGTGAACTCTTGCCCTTTGAATTGAGTTCCGAGAACTGTAATGATGGCGAATATAATTGTAGACTGAGTTTTTGTAACATAGCAGCAGTCATTGCATTAAACACAGACTTTGTTAGTAATGTAAATGTAAGCAGTAAAAGTTATCAAAATTTCAACTTAGAGGAACAACAAAAATCAAATCAATAACACATATTTGGTTTGTCACAGACAAAAATAAACACAGAGAACATATCACGCGAGGTTATATATAGAACATGGGCATGCATTTTTGATACAAAATTCAACTATGAGCCATAAATAATATGTAATAGTTGAAATAAAACCAGGTAGCACACGCGATACTCGTATTAATCTGGAAGCATTCAAGTGCTTTCTAACTACTAAGGGAAGTTTTTAATTACTTTGTTCCCGACGTCTGCTAGAAAAAAGGGGGTTTAAAGAACGTGTCGGTGAAGAGGAAGATTTAGAAAGTGTTTCGCGAGAGTATCATAGGATTTGAGATGAATAATGAATGATGAATTACTTAAAATACATTGTGGATATATTTTCTCTCGTACAGATTCTGTCAGTATAATTCGCGAGGATTGATATGTAAAACACGTCCACAAACATGATGTTATTATAAAAATCACGTCCTCAAACATCCAGGCTTAGAATAAATTAATATTCATAGGCCTGAAATTCATTTGTTTTATGTAGAACCAAAGCATTAGCAGAATGTACCGCGCCCACTGATGCGCAAACATTCAGAATCGACGAACGTAAAAATGAAACCGAAGAGCAGTATTTATTAGACATGTTGATACTATCAAATGTAATTGTGTGTTAACCGTTTTCATTACTAGAATAAAATTGTTTTGAAAATCTCACGCAATATCTCTTTACCAACTAACAATGCTAAAACTAATTACTAACAACACTATAAACTGAAAATGTATCTGAACGTTATTGTAAATCAAGCTAATGAAGTATATATCAGAGTAAACGTAAACGGCGAGCTGTTAAACGTTCCACGTTGTACCGGAACGAAGTTAGCTAAATTTATTGTTATAGTTTTGTTAAGAAAAGCAATAGCTTCTTCAGGTGAAGGCTGAGTGGCCGTAAAGGAGCCAATATATAATACTGCATTACCTACTTATGTATTGCCTCTGCCTTACCATTAAGTTCACGACAATGTTGTTATTTACCTGTAAAAAAGAAAATCGACTATTAGAAATAATATTCATAAGAGACAAACAAAATAATTAAAACGTAATCATTATACCTGGTTTCAAAATCAAAAATCAAATTATACAATTTAAAAGTTAAGGATTAATAAGGATTTCAAATGATTCACGGTCTTTTTGCACCGTGATTCAGACGCAAAACCGCAGTGGGGTCAACCCTCAAGCCCAATCATTTACCTTTTCATAAGACCCGGAAATACCAAAACCTAAAACTGTCAGAACAGATAAACCGATAAAAACGATGAATAATATTATTATTCTGAATTGTAAATGAGAAATATGTAAAGTATCATCTGTCTATTGTCTCGTGGAAGATGTAACTGTAATGTATATTAGTGAAGAAAGACATTGTAACTTCACTTAATGAACACTTCATTTGGAGGAAAAAGAAATATTGGATTTTCTGTGAATGAAAAATATCATCATAAATTCTGGGCGAATAAAGATAAATGTGTACCCAACTCTTTAGGGTTTACAGATCTTTACAGTTATGTCTTATGCCGTTGCCTCTTAAATTTTTATTCACCCTAGTAACAAGAGAAACATCGCAGCGACAGAAACCGCATTACCAAATATACATTTACATGAAACATGTCAAATAAACGAATGTTTTAAGCACCTAGTTAAGTTATGCCGGCTCACGTACCGCTAACCAGACGAGAAGAAATGTAACGATATAAAACCGAGTGCCTCCCCGAAAATTTCCTTCAGTCTTGTACGATAAATCTTTTAATCCTCTTATACAATTTGATCGAGATTGCCCGGACGGCGCGTTTTTCTTTTTGTTCATGGACGAATGTTTCCGATCTTAGTTTTTGTTTTGACGATAAATGTGCTTTTAATGTGCATTCTGCTTGTTTGCTGGATTTGTGGATGTGCAGTTTTAAGAAGTGGTCTGGCTGGATTTTCGGCGAGAATAATACCCTCGTAAATTATCTGATTACTTTTGTTTTGTTTACGATTCGAGATCTTGTGATTTATTAACATAGTCAGCATTATAGTTTATTAGCCTTTAATTAAATCAAAGCTCTTCATTAGCTTAGGATTAAATTGTCAGATTATCTAGTATTACTTTGTGGTATATTATCGTTAGACACATTGGTTGGACGTTCATTGCTCTGGTACTCAGCACTTTATAATTTAAGTTCATTATGAAAAAGTTTCCTTTCTTGTACCTTAAAATATTTAAAGAACTAATCTCAAACACAGTGAACAAAAAGAAAGATAGGGTAATGTGTCCCCAGTCGATTATAAAAGTCGATGTAACGGATTAAATCTGCGTAAGTTTCACTGATGGTATATTATTATGAAGTTTGAAAAGAGTAAATAATTAAATTATCGCGCTAGGTGTGGTTAGGTGACATTGGAACAGTCCATTTAATCGGACAATGATCAGAGATTATTTCGGAAGGTGGTTCAGAAACAAAACGTCCTTCAATCAAGGGTCCTTACCTGGCAACAGCAGTGGTATTTAAATCGCATCGATCACGCCTTGACGCAGATGTTAGACAATGTTAGGAGATACTCAGTCGATAAAAAAATATAATTGATGAGGACAGGTAGTGGATTTAGGGTTGTCTGCCCGAAGGGACGTCAGGACGCGATAGCTACTAAAGTGAATTGGTTAGGGGTGTACGCAGGAAATGGGAGGAAAAGAAATAACAATAGCGACTAAAAAACTAATGGAAATAATCTTTGACATATTGATGGATATTTTGATGAAAACATAGTTTAATAATTTATTGAAGGAAAGGCGTATAATATAATCTTAGAAAAAGAAGATAAAGATAAAAGATAGACGCAATGCCATGACTGATGTTAATCGAAAACAGTTCAAAAGAAACGCAGAAATATTGTCCAAAAGCTATGTTACGTACAATAAATACAGGAAAGACAAGACATTTATTCATAACTCATATCTGGACAGATCTATATACAAAAATTTGTGTTCAAAAGTAAGTAACGGTATTCGAAGCAGCCCTGGCCCCTCTCATACAGGACGTTTTGATGTATCATCTTATTTGATACGAATCACTTGTTTTACATGTCTGAGTACAGATAATAGTAATGTGCTGTATTTATTATGAAACTATTTACATTGGAACACAGGTTCACTTTCATATAAAAACTCTGGGAAATAATTTGCGAGACGTCAAATCTTGATTTATATCTGAAAGTCTAGTATAATGTATCGGTTTTTTCTTACGACTTTGCGGAGTAGATAGTGTCTAGGCATTATTTTTTATTGGCAGATTAACATAAAATAGTGTCTGCACAGACTTTCAAAGTTGTTGTATATTTTTTGTTTAACTTGGGTAATTTAAAAGAGTTATGTTAAGGACTTCACTTAGTTAAAAATGAATTGCTGACACGCTTCATAGTGTAATTATCTTAATGTTTAAAGGTATTAAACTAACTAAACCTTACGCAAAGTAGACAGCTATTATCAAATGAAACCTTTTTTCGAACACAAACAGCCTGTATCGTGAGTTTTTTTCGCCGCCCCCATGTTTCGGGACAATAAAACGCGTTCTTATCTACTCCACTATGTTTTCGTTTTAAAAACATTTTTCGTTCTTTCATGATTATTTTTTAAGCTACCGCACTACGCTTTGCCCACATCTTGCTCGTTAAAACTATTCTCATCTCTATTTTCAACTGAATAAGAATGAGGATCCTATGTAGTTTGCACTTTAAATTCTTTTGTCTTTTAACTATTGATTCTTTTTCATTTTATAGTGATTTCAAAATGAATAGATATTCAGGTTTTATTGACGACTTTTTATAGTGTGGGTTGGGATTCGAATCTCAGTTGAATTAGGGTTTTATGTGCGATCATTGTCTACGTATTATGTATTCTCTGTAAGGAACGAATAAAAACGATTTATGTGATTTGTTTGATAAGCATACGGTCTAGTGGTTTTCTTGTTTAACACGTACGTGTCTGTCTCTAGCTGTACTGAGAAGAAAATTATAATTAAGTAGAATTTAACAAAAAAGAAATAAATCTAGATCATAATGGTGACGGAAATAACTTCGAAAAATGAGTCCTCATTAAGCACTTATTTGTGCAAGTGTTCAACCAAAAAACATCGCGCATTGACAACTGTTAGTTTCCGTGTGCAACAGATGGTGATGGCAACAGTTGCAAAAATATCGAGACAGGTGGCACTGCGACCTACAACATGTTATTTCCAAGACAACAATTGAAACCACACTCAACTATAGGACTGACACACTAAATTATAGTAGAACTGACAGTTCGAAAGTTAAACGAAAATTAATTAAGACATTTAATGAATTTCTTATCAATGCCGATAATGTCAATATAGGCTCTTTATCACATTTAAAAGTCAACACTAAAGACACAGTATCGTTAGTTGAACTCAATTCTCGTATCTCTAACACAATTCGGCCAGCCAATACATTCAAGCATCCAGAAAATGGTATCATGCAATCCCAAGAGGTCCATCAAAATAATGTAGCGATA